TTGCACACACCCTTCTTTCCTTTGCACGCAGTTTATAAGTCGGAACGGCCCGGATCGGCCGCCTATATCCTATTGCTGCCATATAACTGATTGATCGGAAATGGTATAACTTTTGTGTTTTTAGAGTTAGAGGTTCAAATTTGACATGAGAGCTATTTTGGCAAAACATTACGTCATGCCAAATTTCATAAGGATCGGCCGCCTATATCTTATAGCTGCCATATAACTGAACGATCGGAAATAACCCAACTTTCGTGTTTTGAAGATAGAAAGCTGGAATTTGGTACAGATTATATTTTTGGTCAGTTAATCTGACCTACGAAATTTCATTAGGATCGGCCGACTATATCCTATAGCTGCCATATAACTGAACGATCGGAAATGGTATTTGGTAGAAACATCAACTTTCGTATTTTTGAAGATAGAAGTTTGGGACTTTTTTTAGATTTTTTATTGTAATTAATTGGTTTTATTATGATAAATCATAATCATAAGGATCGGCCAACTATATCCGATGTTTGCGATATATATCCGGGTTTAACTGCAAGGGTATATAAACTTCGGCTCCGTCCGAAGTTAGCTTTCCTTTCTTGTTTTGGTTTCAGTTGGATTTTGTTGGTTTTTTTTTTTAGATTGTTTGGGAGTTGGAGTTTTGTGGGTGGTTCCAGGGAAATCTATGTCAAAGTAATGCCACTAATTGGCAAGCATGAGTACAAATTCCACCTACATTAATCGAATAAATTATAGCGGGACTTAAGGTGGAAATATTTTATACAATTTGATTTTGATTTCATAAAAAATGCGGCCAGGTGCACTTTAAAAGCATAAATCTTAGTAGGCTTGGAATTTTGCAATCATTTTTTGACGATTCAGTATGTAGCTATGGCAACATTTTTTTTTGGCTATTAGATCGACGCACCAAATACATTCAGTTGGAGTCGACCTCTCCAACCGAAAACATCTTGAGTTCTGCTTTCCTTCTTTATTTTTTATTTCTTTATTTTTTTATTTCTTTATTTTTTTTTTCTTAATTTTTTTTAGCTTTATCATAAGTTGGCATTTTGAATTCCGAGGTTGTATGGAAGGGCGGCTTCAACCGAAAATAATCCATTATTTCCATTACTTCAGTTTCAGTTTTTATTTTTTATTTCCTATGTCTTTTATTACAAATAATGCCAAAAATCTGGAATGCTTTCGCTCTTGTCCGACTTTTCATTTGAAAATGATTTTTTGTTAGTTTTATTTGTTATTTGTTTTTTTTATTTATTTTTACTTATTTGTGAGCAATGGACTTCTCAGAAAAACTTAGATCTCCTGAGGAGATCTATATATTCTTCTTGTGGTTCTTATTTATTTTTGTTTTATTATTTAAAAATATAAAATGTATGGGAATAATCCTTTATTTTATCTGACATCTGATTATTTTTTGACTTCGGGTTTATTTTTTATTTTCCATTGCCTTCGACCATCAGTAATGTAAAACATACGAAATGTTATTGCTTCTTAATCCTTGGGGCCAACGATTTAATTGTTTTAATTATATCTAATTGCTTTTATTTTTATTTCTTGACTTCGGTTACATTTTTTATCTATTATCTATCTATTTATTTTCATCCGACTTGGATTGCTTCTTGATGATATCATCGTACTACTTAATTTTGTTCAATGGACTTATCAAAAAAACTTAGATCTCCTGAGTGATCTTATTTACTTCTATTTCTTTATTCGTCTTGTGGTTCTCATTATTTTTAATTTAAAAAATAAAAAATATACAATTTTTGGGAATAAACCTTGGGACTTTCATTACTGAACTTAATGTTGGTTTAAATTTTTAAAAACTATTTTTTTTTCCAAGCTTTAAATTTTCCACCTAAGAAATAATATTTTTATATACCGCAATTTAATTTTTTTTTTTTATTTTGTGTTACCGAATCATTTCAAATAAATACAAACAAATCTTCACTGACCTATACATCAGAATTCCTTTTTCCCAGCTGGCAAATGGCTAAAAATGAAACTGGTAAATGCTTCTATCTAAGCAGCATAATGGCCATAATGAATAAGACACCTCGGACAGTCGATAGGGACAGTTCGAGCCAACCTGGCCACTTGGCTGCAATTTGTTTGCTATCGGCCAAGGAGAAGCATTTGAGAAACTGCCAGCCAAGAGGGACAAGAGGATCGACTGCGAGGGGTATGAGTGGATGAGGGGAAAAGCAAAGGAAAACGCGGAGCAGAAATAAAATTATTTAATTGCGCAATTAAGTGAACATTTGTAACGTTTTGCGCGACATCTGTCCCATGTGCAGGAGTGGATCCAGCCAGAGTCCAGAGTCGGGACCGGAAATTCAATTGTTGAGATAATAATTACATTAGGACGTGCGCGCATGCGCGACTCTCTCACTTTGAGTCTCTGACTCGGGCTACGACTGTGTTTTTTTGTTTTCCTGGCGAGACTCCGCCATGTGGAGCGATACGAGCTGGACAAGAGCCAGCCTAGAGTGGACCCGAATCGTGACCAAAATGGGAAGGAAAAGTATTTTGCTGGACTAAACAATTAATTTTCAGATTAATTTAGATTAATTATTTTATAACAAAATATTAAAATGCTTAAGATGTACTATAAAAATTTAATTATTTGTAAAATAAAGATGAATAAGTTTTTAAAAGAAAAAAAGAATAGAAACTTCTTTGATCTTTAATAGATTTTTATAAATAGTTCCTTTAAGATTCCTAGTTTTGTTAGATCAGTGATAAACCACATATGCTTCCCTTCCCCAATTACAGGGTATAACAAGTGCACACCTTGCGCGACGAGCTGATTGACACGGCCACATGGGGACGAGATACTGAGAGCTCAGTGCTCTATTTGCTCGATCCCGATTCCGATCCCAATGCAGTCCCTGTTACTGTCTCTATGCTCCGACCTGCTGTCCATTGAACCCGGCCAATGGCCAAATGGTCGACGGTCACTCCTCGACGGTCGCCGCTCTTTTGTTTGCATTTCGCCTGTAAATGAAGCGTGAAATTGGCTGCAGTGCAGCAAGTTGACTCCGATCGCCAACTCCGTTCCCATTCCCCATCCCCAGTCCCGTTTCCATTCCAATTGCAACTCGAATCGGATGGAGACAGAGAGCGTCGCATTGTTTACTTCTTGTTAAGGCCCCGACAATGGGATAATATGGCAATATAATGGCAACACCAAACTATTTGTATGCAATTGCCATTAACACTTTATTTATTGCCTTGCGATACGAGCAAATTGGGCTACAAATGGCAGACGGGGTGTGTGCCACAGGGGGGTGCCACAACCGTGGGTGGGGGGTACGTCGAGTGGTGGGCTGCTGGAATGAAGCTGTCGATATATAAGGCCAGCTTATATCAGGCCTAATGAAGTAGTTATCAAGGAATGGAATCTGTTGGGTTCACTCTAAAATGGCAATACCTCGGTTCACCTTTTTTGTTATAAGGTGGAATGAGAAACAGTTTGCATTGGATTAAAACGATTATATCAAATTACAATGGGTTGCCGGAAAGGGGTAGTTGTTTATTTCATTTCAAAGAATGGGTTCCAATTAATAGGATTACTGATTCAAGTAATTTTAGAAAAATTTATTTATTTGGAATAGTTATTTTGTTATAGTTAGTTATACTAACTATAACATAATAGTTATTTTTGTGGTTAAAATAATTTAAATTATTTTATTTTTATACATAATAATACGAACACATTTAATATATATTGATTCTTGTTGGGTTTTATACGTATTTTAAATCTATTTGTATTGTTCATAACAATTTTTCAAGGAGAGCAATGAGAATTCAAGAAGTCTAAAACTTTGTATTTTGCACACAGGGCGTATGACTAATTTTAATCCTTAGGGCTCATTAGCATTGGGACTTATTAGGACAACAAAGAATAAAAAGGGAAAGCATAAGCAAATATACATACATATTTTATAATAGTAATTTAAAATTTCACATTCTTATAAAGCATTAAACGGAATACCTTTTACCAGATGACGATGATTCTGAAATATAGTCATTATTTCTACCCTTTTAAAGCCCGAATAGTCGTCAACCATTCTTGTTTTCTCGTTTATGGTATTATTTAGTTTTGGTATAATGATATAACCCTTTCTGCGGGCCATTGCATTTCGACTCACTTGACACCCCAACTCCAAAAGGCCAACAAGGCAGTTTACGGATGCGTCAGACTTCGGCAATCATCCAATAAAGCCAACAAAGTCATTAACGAGGCCCTTAACACTAGCCCAGGTCCTATATGGAGGGATGCCCCATCCCCCACCTGACCCCCCCACTCGTTCGAAACTCTTTTTCTTGGCTAAATTATTTAATTTATGAGCCGCAACAACTGCAACAAACGCATGCATCTATGGAAACGCTGAAGAAGGCGAAGAGGGGCAAATAAATTTCCATTTTGCTAATCAAATTTATTGCACTTTGTGCGGGGCTTATTCAATTACAGCGACAGAGATGGGGCGATGGGGAGCAGCCGAGCGAGAGAGAGGGGACCAGCACACACACATACACACACAGTCACACTCTCCGCCATTATTGGCCTCTCATAGGCTGGCGCTTGTCACTCTCTCTACCTCTTTCCAACCAACGTACGAAGAGAGTAAGGAGAGGCGGGGTCTCTCCACTCGCTCACCTGCTGCGACACCTGCGACGATCGATCGACACGCTCCGATCGCATCGCTCCCTCTCGCTCTGTGGCAGCAGCAGCAACAACAACTTTAACTTCAACAACCAGTTCTTGGTTTAGCTGATGTTGTTGTTTTTGGGCCAAAACCCACCTGAGTTTTCACCGGTGCGACGACTGCCGGCCGTGTAGTTCGCTGGCGGCTTTCAAACAGCCCGGTCACCTTCGTCGCGTTCGGTTCTGTTTCATTTCTATTCGATCCGATATCGGTTCGATACAAACGGTAAACATATATCGTTTTAAAACAAATAGTGTGCAAGTGCTAATACCTTGGAAGATAAACAAAGATACAGGGATATACCCCAAAGATACTTTGCAATCCCAGATTTTTGATATTCCAGTGAGAAAAGCCCGACGGCAAAGTGTTTCGGTTGCTGTGAGTGAGGGTGAGAGGACTGATAACACCGCCGGAGACAGAGACAGCAGTAATAGGAAAAAATCGGAAATAATAATAACATTATAAAGATCCCTTAGAAGTCATAAGCTTGAGGACATTGGTGATTTCACATATAGTGAAGGGATAAGGAAGGTGAGTTGATTTTGTAAAATAGGGGTTTCAGATTGCAAATCAATAAATTATAATAGAAGTACTACTAGATTATTAGAACTACAATTATAGAGTAATATTCCGTTCCAAATACAACCTGGTTCATGTTAAATTATGAAGAAAATCATCCATATTTATTTAGAATAATAAGTAGAAGAAACTAGGATATGGGAGAATTATACTTTGTGATCCATATGATCCATGACTATGATCCATAAATTTAAATTCGCATTATTATTATATCTATATTCCGAAAGAAAATATACGAAAACCAAAAGTAATGTCTATAATTATCTATATTAAAGGATCTATATATTCATACATACATATAAATCGGTACTTAGTATATCGAACACTGTAAAATGATCTATATGTTTTTTATAAGATAGATATATGTATGTACAGAGTGCCTAAACAATGTCATGTTCAAGTAATACTAAATATTCAAAGTTTTTTTTAAAAAAAATAAATGCCATGTTTCTTAAGTCAACTCTTAAGTCATTTAAAATTATATTACTATATCTAACTAAATAAATATCCACAAGCAAGATCATTTACATGTACTACCCTTTTTATGATAATATATCTTACCCTACCCCCAAAAACTCCCTCGATAATCTAAGAACCCCGCCTTGAAGTTAACCTACTTCTCACCATGATTGACAAATATTACAAGTATAACCCATATTGTATATATTTCATAATTTCGCTGTCTTATCTATTCGATGAGTTTGAAGAGGGTAAAAAACAAACAAAAACTAAACCGAAAATTAAATATCATTAAATTTGATTAATTTCCCACCTGGACATATCAAATCAGACAAATATATCAGGCAAATCGAAGCAAATGAAATAAGAATTTGATTAACTCAATTTTTGAAAAGACTTTGGTGCCTGCTGATAGCTCAATGGGTTTATCACTGATTGGGTTTAATTAAACACCATTAAAGAGTACAAATTGTCAGCGGCGCAGTCAGTGCCAATAAATCACGTTTTTTCCAACTGATTTCTCATTCTTTTTTTAAATAATATTTTTTATTGTTAGACCAGAGCTGGTATTGGAATAGTGGGGGCAGAGTCTTCTGCTCATGTACTCATGTGTACCTACAAAATAAATGAAATTAACTCGCTGCGGGTATCACACCTCGATAATCTTGTCAAAAGCCCCCTGACCACTTAACTTCTTGACGTGGACAAGGGCCTCGAGTTTGGAGTAACAAAAACACAAATATAGACAGATATTTTGGTCTAGATAGACCCAACTAAGGAGGCATGTCAGTAAGATCTAAGAGTTCCATTTCCTAGCGATAATCGAGTACTTGGACCGACTGATTTAATTAATAATTATAGCCATGTGACTCGGTGACGCAAATAACTAGCTTTGGGGTCTGTGTATCTCCAAGATAGTATCTTGCCAAAGAGATAGTGAGATACGATTGGCCTTACTATTTTTTTGGGTGGGGGCAGCTAGTAGCTTCCCAAAATTAAAATATGTTCTTATGCTCCAGACTAGTTCAATTCAATTACTGCAACAAACAATTAAAACTTGTTGCCAGATACTCTTTGAGATACTACTGGATGGCATATCTCGTAGATACAAACAAAAGTATTTTTCCTCTTTTTTTGGCAGTTATCTGAGAACATGAACTCTCTGATTTGATTGTTTGACAACACCCAATTTGTGGGCGCTGCCTTTTGAAGGGGGCACCGGCATTTCGATGGTTAATAAGTGATTGCCACACACCAATCGGCGCAATTCGTTTTTTTGGCGCCAGTTCCAGTTCCAACCTACAGCCTCCATTGAGATGTGCTTCATTAATTCCCAACCCTACCTCCAAATGGAACATGCAAACATGAGAAATCAACGTCTCGACTTCAAATTGCCCAGCGTCTGCCTCGGATTCGCTTATCAAACCGCACAAGACAATGACAAAGGGCAGAATGGAGTGGAGCTGGATCTGAGGATGGGGATGGAGATGGCGTCGGACAACAGTTGTCCAACAATCCACCTAAATCCCCCAAGATCCTCTCCGCCTGGCAGCCCCATCGACTGCTGTTTTTAACATGCATTTTATGAGTAATTGGCCTTGCATCTCGGCATCAGGCATCAGCATCAGGCTAAGGTTGTAGCTACAACCTCAGCATCACCATTCAGACAGGACGGACGGATCGTAAGACAGACATCTGGGTTGCGAGACCCGGGACTGACTCACAAGTTGAACCTGCGACTACTACCTTAGGGCTACCGTCCAGCAATCTCCTCCATTAGGGTGGCCACAGGTGAAGATACGAGGCAATAAAATGAAATTGAAATACCCTAACAAGAAAGGGAAATATTCTTAGCTAAGGTGGTAAATTTATATAAGTTACATGTCTTGAAAGATATTATAGATTTAAAATATTTGGTTCCTCTTTAAAATGTATGATATAAATATATTAACATATAGATAATCCCAAATATTATAAAACATAGTCTCAGCTAGAAAAAATTATTCAAAAAATATATTTTTACCTTCTGAGCTACTCCTCAAGCTTCCCAAATGATCAAGAATATATATGTATTAAAATACCTCATATCATTTTAGTTAATATATATCCGTCAAGAAGCCAGAATATTTCCTTTTTAGGGCATCTCTTTAGTCGTTTTAAAACTCCAACTGATAGCCAGTAAATTGAATTAAGATTGGCCCCAAGAACAACAAATGAGGCAGCAGCTTCGACACAGGATATGAATAAACTAATTATAATTGGGAGTGTGTGCATTAGAGGTCCATAACGTATAGCCAAGAATAAAAATAAAAACAAAGGCTGAGGCAGTGGTAGAGGCCAGAGATGGAGACAGAGACGGCGCCTGGCCAGAAACAAGAATGCTGCCTTATCGCACCTGGCCAAAAAGACGGCGCCAAGAAACAAACAACCAACAACTCTGGAAGGTGAACTCTGAACACCGAATCCAAATCCGACTTCTCGGCTCAGGTGCAGCTTAAAATGGGATAAAGACTCAGCTGCTTTCGATATCGGTTTTATGCATTCTGCTGGGTGACTCACAAATTAATAATTGACCTTATCACCCGCGAGCCTATTAGGGGAGAGAGTTCCGAATGTCGCGCAGACAATCGATCAAGTGGAGTGTCGTGGTGTGGTGGACCACCACATGGTAATCGGGCATCGGATTGAGTGAGCTTTTGGCCCGGGGCCAAATGTTAAGCCACCCAAAATGCTTGCCATTATCGAATGGCTCCTCCGCACAACAGGACAGGATGGGGGAAATTACAATGCCGATCATCAAAGTGTGACTAAAGTGGTTTAGCCTAATGTAAACCCATAAATAAACAGCCCAGATACTGGCCAGACTCGAGACTGGAAAACTGGAGCCTGAAAACCGAGAGACTGTGGCGGCCAGAAGAGAGATCCGAGACGGAGACGCATTAACAAAATGCCAGAAAAGAGCTTCTGTTTGCTGTTCTACCTGATGCCGTCCCTCTGGCCGTTCGGCTTTTAATGAAATATGCCAGCACAACAGTCCCCAGACAGCTGGGGGAATCGCAGGGCGATCCGGCGATCCAGTGATCGGGAGCTGGAGTCGGAGCTGAATCTGGAGCTGGAGGAGCTAAAAACACAAAAGTGCAACCATAAAAACGACACCAAACATGAAGGAGCCCAGCGAGCAGACGAAGACGGCGAGAAGACTCTTCGGCAGCACAAGAGAGCTGTTGGGGATTTGAGTTGTGGAAAGAGCAGCCAGGCAGGGCAGAAACATTGATGCTTATCGAGATGACAGAAGTGACGACAACGGACAAACAGACAATGGACACAGGACCCTGGACAACCGAATAGAAGTACCACAGTACACTTGTCCTGTATTACGAATTAATTTCTTAATTTTCCATATGACTTGCACTGCGAAAAATATTGAGGGTTTTACAATATTTAAGAGCTTTCATTAAATATTTTATCTTTAAAAACTAAAAAGTTCTTGTAGTTCTACTAAAAACAAAGAACAACTCAACTAACCTAACCCTTTTCCCTCAGTGACTTTATGACTGGGCTGGATTAGGAAACCCACACAACCTACAATGTTGCTCTTAAATATTTCCCCAGACACTAATGGAGCTTATCTCTAAACGGAACAAGCAACCGCAAACAAGTTGCCAGACTCCGACTCCGACTACAACTCAAAACTCGGACTTGGACTCAGACATGGACTCAGACTTGGACTCTTAGTGAGAATCAGAGACGCAGACGGAGATGGAGATGGAGACGGAGCTGGAGTCTGAGACATTTGAGCTGGCGCTTGGCCTGATTAGCATACAGGGACTAAGTTGTGTCAAAATGTTAGCCACGAAATCGCCCCCGCTCGAGAGGAATACCCCATCCGACGGCCTGGTTCTCCCTTCTGGTTTCCATCGCTAATCGTGGCTTCCTGGAGAGACGACAAGGTAACTGCTTTTGGGCAAAGCAAGTGCAGCGTTAACTTGATTAGTTGTCGCTGTGGCTGTGGCAGCCAAATGGCTAAATGAAGCCATGCCAGTGAGTTGGCCAAATCGGTAGGCAGACGTCAAAACTTGACAGTTTCCAGTGAACTGGGCTCTGGCTCTAGCTCTGACTCTAACTCTGGCTCTGACTCTGCCTTTTAATTACCCAACGAAACGTCAATCAGTGTAGGATTCCGTCCGTTTGTGGTCCTCCTGTTGCTCCTCCAGCTCCAGTGGCAATAATAAAGTCGTAACGCGGATACAATTATAAGGCGGCAACACAACAAAGCCAAACGGCACACATTCCCCACATAATTCCATGGCTCTAAGCTGCTCTACGGTTCGTATTGGGATTCGTCTTTGGATTCGCATGCAATGAATTAATCAGTGCGGCTCTTATAATGAACTCCACAAAAAAACAGACAACTGGGAAGAGGAGTGAGTGATCAGGGGGCAGCATAATTGCAATTCGTACAACTAATTTAATAATTTGCGGACCGCAAATTAAGTTTGTCAGCTGTCAATGCGCGGAATTCGTTGACAACATTGGCAACTGACAGTGCAACTCATAACGAAAGTTATGATCGAGCCAAGAAATGAGTTATGAACTGACAATGAGTCTTAGTTTTGAGGTATGAGTACTCCCAAGATGATGGTGAGGAAAGATGCCACTGCAGAAGAAGCTGAGCAGGAATGACATTCGACAACCCCATGAACCAGTTGAGGTGCACTTTTAAAAATGTCTAGTAGGTTATAACAGACAGTTATCTTCTTCTGACTTTTAAGACTTTAAGCCACAAGTTTAAGTAATTTTTTCTTGTGTACTTTCTGTTGCCTGTCTTCGATTGTTGCCGCTTGCAACTTCATTCCGCGCAACAAGAATGCAACTAAATCAATCACAGCCACACTAATTTGCCATTTAACAAGGTATTTGGACAATTTTGATATATGTAGAGATGTCAAACGAACGGCGGCCGAAAGCAGCCACGACGGCCATCAATCAAGCCGGACTTTGTGTGCTTTTTGGGCATGGGATCCGGAGCCAGGGCCTTAGGATGTCCCTGACATCGACGAAGGTCTTGGCAGCATGGAAGGTTACACCGGCCGGCATTAACCATTTAGTTGTCATTAAACGACGTCGTATATTAATTAGCAAAACATGAATTTGCCAAAGTCAAACTCCCAGAACGGTGAAAAGTAAAGAGGAAGCTCTGGCTGGGGCCCAAAGACTGGCACCTGATATTAATTTGATCTGATAGAAGACCGAAAACCGGCTGCACTCACTCGCCCCGGCCGTTGAGTTGATGATGATGAAAATGAAGGTGCCGCCCAATTTAATTAAAATTCCAAACGATCTGCACATGAAAGCTGCTGTGGCTGCTGTCTACCGTCTGATGTTTGCTGTAAAAAGCTAAAACAACCCAACTCAACGCTCTCGGAACGTGTTGATGGAAGAGATCAGCTGACGGACAGCTGCCCCTGCCACTGCCCCATGCTGTGGTCATCGATTTGCATTGAGGCATTGAGTGGAAACCTCAGGCCGGAGATGAGACCCCCAGATGAATCTCTCCATCTCCAGTGGCAGCCATGGCCATAAGGCACGCTTCGCGACCGCAGAAGAGCTAACTAACCCATAAGATAGTAACACTAAGCTGTCGGGATTTGGTGCTAAAGCTAGCCCCTTTGGGGAAAAGAGAATAAATCAACATTTTATTGGCGTGTATTGTGATAAATCTTTAACGAGTTTCTGTAGCAGCGGGTTGATGGATATGTTGATTTATTGACAGGCAGCTTCTGGTTGTAGTTTATTTAGTTTCTATATAATTTAAAGATCATAAAAAAAGATGCATATTCTGAGAAGTGATAATTTAAAAATCAAAAACGCATTTCACACATTTCTGGTCCAAGCTCTTGCCTTAACTCCCACAACAAATTCCGCCACACCTTGGTAGGTAGACCTTCTCACACTGCACCTTAGACCGTAACCAAGCTGGCCAGTGTAACCGCAGCTAACCTCGAGCGGCGAGTCCCGACCCAGCCGATGACTTGGTCATGGCTAGATGGCAAATTACGGAAATTGGTATAATAAAGTGCACGATAATTGTACGTTTAGCGTTTATTGAATTACGAGCTTCTAATGCGCGTCTAACTAGCCAACTCTGCCTCTTTTTTTAACGTTGCTTTTCAATCAAAATAATAAAATACTAAAGATTAAACAACAATTTTTAATATCTGCTATATTAGATACAATTTGTACGGCTAATTAAATTTTATATTAAATCACAATTTTGCAGCTGCTGCCTTCAAGGATTGAGAGTGCCCCCTTTTGGATTATGGGCATATCGGAGGAGATCAAGCTGGAGGAACTACCGCAAGAAGCCAAGCTAGCGCACCCGGATGCCGTCGCCCTGGTGGATCGTGCCCCCGGATCGTCGGCGGCCACCGCCGGTGCGGCGCTAACGGTTTCGGTTTCTGGCAGTGGTGCAGCCAGTGCGGCGAGCGGAGCCAGCGGCGGCACCAATAGCCCCATCTCGGACGGGAACAGTGACGGCGAGGCGGACGAGTATGCCCCGAAGCGGAAGCAGCGGCGCTATCGCACAACCTTCACCAGCTTTCAGCTCGAGGAGCTGGAGAAGGCCTTCTCCCGGACCCATTACCCCGACGTGTTTACGAGGTGAGTAACATATGACAAAGTGAGATAAAGACCAAGCTCCAGGCTGGGCAGGCTGGCCCAGAAGAAAAGAAATTTGCATAAATCGCTCATCGAGGCGCGACAAAAGGCTCGAAAGTTGATTCTCGGTTTTACGATACGACTAAAATGAGAGCGTTCAGGTGATAATAATAATGCTTATGACGACCACTACAATGACAACGGCGACCCCCCCTGAGTGGATCGATCGATCTTATTCGGAGCAGAGTTCGAACCTGATCGCCCCCTCTGAGATAATGGCCATAAAACCAAAACCATTCCGACTCCTCGCCCTAAGAAACTCTAACGATAGCAATTAGCATGCAGCAATGTGGCTGAAAGACAGCTACAGTAATTGCCATAAATTAAAAGTCAGTCACTCCTCAGACGAGGAACCAAAGTGAACGCTAATTGAGACCGCACGAAGCTTAAACAAAAATCAAAACAAAAAATACAAGCTTACAGAGTCAATGGCAGCTACAATTAGATCAACTTTTTTTGCCAGTATCACAACAGTTTACAATTCATTAGGCTGCGGGCTTATTTAAATGCTTAGCTTGGCAATTAATTAAGCAAATAAATCAAATCACCTTTGATTATACTATACGCTTTAATTAAATTTTAATAAGAAGCTTTAAAAGGTAAATTGAGGTCAGAAAAGTGAGAAGCGCATAGAACGGCGCTGTTGACTGGAGAGGAGTCTTCAAACACTGGCCGAGATACTAGTTCTTTTCTGGACTGATTCTTGACCATTTCAATTGATTATCTGCCCTAAACAATTGCATTTTTTTTGCGAAACTAACAGTGGCTACTTTTTCATCTTCTTTCAGAGAGGAGCTGGCGATGAAAATTGGATTAACCGAGGCGCGCATTCAGGTAAGCCTTGGTTAGAGGCGGAGAATTCAGGGCTTTAGAGGCTGTACAGATTTGCGGTTAAATCGCGTGGCCCACGTGCAGCCAACAATGTTGAAAATTGAAAAATAATGGAGCATGTCGCTACTAATGAAATCGAGAAAGAGCTAGCGACTGACAGACAGATGGACGGAATCCTAAAGGAGGATAGGAGAAATTCGTTTAATTCTGTTTTAGTGCCAGTCATTACATGCCCGGTCAGTTTATGGCCGGGAAGTCATATACCCCCTAAAGCCGCTTCTTTTTTTAATTACTGCTCATGCTAAACAACATTATTTGCCTATATCCATTCCGACTGGGGACTACTATTCGACTGCAGGAGTGCAATCAGTAGCCGGGCACCGTATTCAGATTGTTATGTTAAAAACTAATTAAAGGGGCGTTTTCAATAACAACGCCCATTAATTGGATGATGGCTCGGGAGTGTAGAGCTCCCGCTCTACTCAAACAGGGATAGAACACTGGATACTGGACACAGTAGCCTGCCAGCGGCGCATAACTCATAGTTCCCATCATCCTTTTTCCAGGTCTGGTTTCAGAATCGGCGTGCCAAGTGGCGCAAGCAGGAGAAGGTTGGACCCCAGTCGCATCCGTACAATCCCTACCTGCCAACCGGCGCCGCCAGCATGCAGACGGTGGTGGGGGCCGCCCTTCCGCCCAATCCCTTCACCCACCTTGGCTTCCAGCTGCGCAAGCCCTTCGACGCCCAACACGCCGCCAACCTGGCCGCCTTCCGCTATCCGCACCTCTCTGCCGCTCCCATGATACCGTCGGGCTACTTTAACCAATTCCAGAGGTAAGTAATCCCAGGAGGATTAAGTTTAAAGGAGAAAATCTATCCTATAATTTCCTGTTTAAAGTCTAGAAATATTATATCACGACTCTGTATAAAAAAACGATATTAAAATTTATTGCCAATTCAAGTTTAAGCCTAAAGTGCTTTATAGTCCCAAAAACAATCTTTTGAATTTATAAATTCCATGAAGACATCTTTGAATTAAGCAAAGTTTTGTTTTAATTTAAAAGTCGTGAGCTGGAAGTGGCATATTTGATTTACTAAGTTTTTAGGCAGTTTTAGGCCTAAGGTTTAAGTCAAAATTTTAAATTAAAAGTCTTTTCATAACAACCAGTTTCTAAAATATTTATTGAAGGAAGCAAATGTATAAGATATTTGTTAAAATACTTTAAAATTAAAATTTTAAAATAAAGTCATGTCTCTCAATAATTACAGGGCTCCTCCCCATATGCTACCACCGGGAATGGCCGGGATGTATCCCTCCAGCTCCTTCCAATCACTGCTGGCCAATATGACGGCGGTACCCAGAGGTCCGCCCCTTGGAAAACCACCAGCCCTACTTGTGGGATCCCCGGACCTGCACTCGCCCAACCATTTGCTCGCCTCGCCACCCACTTCCCCCGCCTCCGGCCACGCCTCCCAGCACCCGAGCATCCATCCGCCACCGCCCCAAGTGGCGCCACCGCCGCCTCCCCAGCTGGGAGTGCAGCCAGCTCAGTTGTCGCCCCAACAGCTGGTGGGGATCGCCTTGACCCACCAAGCGCCTTGCAGATCACCCACCCAGACAGCTCCCGTGGCCCTGACGCTAGCTCACTCGCCTCAGCGCCAGTTGCCGCCGCCGCCACCGCCAGTGGTGTCTCTGCCCCCGCCTCCACGAGCTGCAACACCTCCGGAGGATCGACGCACCTCCTCTATTGCTGCACTGCGTCTGAAGGCCCGGGAGCACGAACTGAAGCTGGAACTGCTGCGCCAAAACGGACATGGTAACGATGTGGTCAGCTAGCTGACGGAGAAGCCAACGGATGGGATGGAGTTCGAGGCGGATATTCCAAATTCAAGTGCAAAATCTTTACTGGTTCACTGTATTTCTAAGCCCATAAATTATTCAATTGTGTGTATTTAACAAAGAATTTTCAATAAATTCAAAAAGTAAAATAATTACAACATTGTATTATACTACTTCTTAATATGTTTATTTTGAGAAGCCAAGCCAAGGAAAGGTAAAATTCTTCAAATTATAACTGCGCCTTTCCCCAGAACCATAAATTCAGTATAACTAATCAAACTAATATACCCCATTATACCTCACACCTGGAATAGACCAATGAAACCCCGAGCTCTTGATCATCTCTTTGTATTGTATTGGTAATTCCCACAAATTAGCCATAAGCCGAGGCCTAATGGACAAAAGCCCCACTATAATGTGCGTAACAACACCTACTTAGGGAAAAATGAAAGAGAATTTGTAACCGAGAACTGATTCACAGCCAGTCCGACCAGTCGGATTTCTGGGAGTACCGGCGCAGTACCGGAGACTGGAGACTAAAGACCGGAGCCGGAGCTGCCATTAATCAGTGGTCTTCCCATAAATCAGCGAGTGAAGGGGCCGGAGCGGTACGAAGAGGAGAAAGGAGTCTTGATCAAAAACAAAAACAAGAGGAGGGTGCCACAAATATAAATTTATGAATAAATTAGAAACAAATTAAATATGTTAATGAGACTCGACGAGACGGAATCAAAGTCAAATTCGAAGAGAGAGGACTAGCATTGGAATCTTTGGCGATTTCTTTGTCTTTGTATTTCTCCAAGTCTCCCAGTCTCAGTTCGCTTTTGTTGGTGAATTATGCGCGGTAATTAATAAAATGGAATATTTATGATAACATTTATAAAACACGAAGTTGCCTAATTCGATTACCAGATTTTTTGGTCAGCCGCTCATTTTTTTCCCCATCGGCCCAATACCCGACAAAAAGAGTAAAAGTATCGGACAGGGTTCCTCCTCACATGGCCTGATAATTGCGATGAGGTGGAACTGTGATAATCATGTTTAACCGACGGCCCCTCCTTGGGCCTGTATATTTTTTTTCTCTTGCCCCTGTTTCGAGACTGAAAACATTTTATGCATTTCAATGAGTTCGTCAAATGCATAAAAAAAATCGAGAAAAGAGAACCCAACCGCGAGATCCAAACAATTAATTTGCATAATAATCAAGCCAAGAGGAAAGGGGCAGGCGGTATAAATATATATAGTATAGAGTTTAAGGCAACGGGGGGAAAGGAGGAGGTAGAACAACCATATTAATAATCATTAATTAAGGGGGCTAATTAACGGTGACATTAAGAGACTGCATTTTAATGACTCCACCTTCGATTTGATATGCTATTAGATTAGTTATTTGTTTCTGCCTGACTTTGGCGATTGCACAACAATACAGATGGATGAAAAATTAATCAAAAATTTTAAAATATTAATACTTTAAGAATTAAAAATTGATTAATTAAAACACACTTAATACATTTTATTTTTTACTTACCCTTTGTTTAATCTTAATAATATATCCTAACCGATTTAAACGTTAGCCAGGTTTGTTTGCATTTAATTACCACTCAATTAAGTTAATTATATGGCTTATAGGATTTTCTGCCAGTGCACGCCAGCTATTTGTCTAACATCTTTATTCTATTTTAGTTAGTGCATTTAATTTGTTAGCAAATTTGCACAGAAACATTCGATTAAAGAGCTTTTTTGTATACTTTTAATTCAATTTAACTACAACGCCAGCTTAATTGCTAATTCCACGACTAGTGAGCAGCCACAACAAAAACAAGACCAGGTGCTCTTGCCCAACAAAAACCACTAAATAATATAATATTTAATTCAGGAAACTTTTTTTCTGCTCATTTTCTTTTTCTTTCCTTGTGTATGTATTATTTTTTTGCCTTGCGAGACAAAATGCAGCTTTGTTGTAGTCGTTTTTTTTTGTATCTGCTGGATATGTAATTGCCCGTGTGTGTGTGTGTGTGATCGAGCAGTGTGTGTGCTTCGTGTGTCGGTGCAATTAAGTTTGCGTTTAATTTGCAATTATCCAAACGACTCAAACTAATTAGCGCCACTTTGATTAAGCCTGGCAACAACAAATGGAAATGAAAATGAAAATGGAAAACCAAAATGTTTGCAATTTTTGAGAAACTTGCAACCACAATCGGGTAATGGAGTATCTGAAACCGAATCCAAAGTGGAGTTAAATGCTAATGAAAATTCGCAGAAATCTTAATTCAATTTATACGAAATTGCACATAAAACCAAATCTGTTTGGCCCTGAAAAATATCAATATCTGTGGGTATATAAATATATATCATGAAATTGCCTATAAAATCACAGGCCAACCATCTGTTAAATTTTATAGCAAGTGATGGGAAGCAAAATCAAGAAATTATAAATTCATTCAGACAAACAAAAGACTTAGGCAACGAACTTTATGCTGTATGTGACGCACACGAAGGGTTAGAAAAGGGGAAGGGCGAGGCGAGGAGGCTGGAAACATAAAAACTGCTCGAATGTGAATGAAATCAGAAATCCAGTTACATATATATGCATATCTATTCCGGGCAGTTGTATGTAGTGTGGGATCAATGATGAGATAATCTCAGATATTTGATGTTGGGCAGAAATGTATCAGATTATCTCTTGAATCACCTTGTTGAAAGATAGGTTAACTTGGAAATATTTTAATGATGTTATTTTTTATGAAATTTCATGTAAGCTTTGAGTTTTTGCTTTCGATTTTGATTAAAAAATACTGTATTATTTCGTACTAATTGATAGACTGAGCAAAGATGCATTTGGAATAAAGAATATGCTTTTAAAACTAAAAATAAATAATATACATATTTCTAACTTTTGAATCCTAATCACCACCTACCTTTTTACTTATAACTACTTTTGTTTGTATTTAATTTTTATAAATTTTGTTTAAAGTTATTGTTTTGTATTTTTAAATATACATAAATCATTAAGGATAGAACTCATGCCTCCAAAAAAGCGCCGACAAAACGGTAATGATGTGACTTTTATTACTACCAAAGGGCAGTAAATGACAACAAGCAAGGAAAAAAGACCCAAAAGAGACAAAACAGGAGGAAAAAGGAAGAAAAGAAAGAAATAAGAAGACAAAATGAGAAACATTTGGCGCCGTGGCAATTAGTTATCAAAGACGTCGCGCATTGACAAGCAAAAGTCAAAGCACTCGAAGCCACCCAAAAAGAGAATGAACCTCAAGAGGAACGAACTCAATACGAGTAAGTGTGTGTGTTTGTAGGGAAAGCTATATAAAGTGGACATTATCCATATAAACGATGACTCATCATGGCTTCGATATGGGCACAAAAAAATAAAAGAAAAACTTACACTTAAGGAGCAAACAGAAACAGCAATCGACTACCGAAGTTGCTGTAAGTAAAAAATCTTGGAGCATGGACTACCTCATATATATTTTCTTAAAGACCCGCCCCAAATCATGGCAGCGTGTGCCGCACCGGTACAAGTCGATATTGAAACGTAGCCCAGCTAAACATTGATCCTTATCGACATGTCAGTGGAGCTGAGCATGTGTGTCTGGCATGGATGTGTATGGACACATATGTATGGCTGCCACACGATTCCAAGATCCCCGATCCCCAGGAGAGGCTGTTGCAACCTGCAATTGGTAGCCCCAACAGCAGCAGCAGAAGCAACAACAACTTAACACGAGACATTGTAGGCACGCAAGTGGACTTTTTACAGATTTACTAGAGAAACTGAGACGGTTGGCTTTCCAAAAGAGTTATTACTGGATTAAATAAGGGTTTTAATAATATAAATTCAAGTAATAACTATTTCATTCCCTTCTTATGTTCCATCCAATATAGAGTATAAGCCTCTATGTGTAACATCCTACTAACCCATTCCCATGCGGGCTGTGAATATATAATTTGAATCTAATCGAATCAAGTCGAGTTGAGTTGAACCAAAATGAATGCGCTAATTAAATAAACATAAAAGTCTCTAGCCGAGCATTATCTACGCCTCCTTAGCTTATCGGCCAGCAACATGTGTAAGAGATCCGATCGCTTAGCCGCATTAGCATATATTCCAGTTCGATTTGGGATCCGAGACCCACGCAGCTGGCATTAGGATCGATAATGAGCTGATTAAACCATTTTTTGGTCGTAGGTGTTGCAGCGTGTAAGATTAGATTAGGCTAATCAGCTGGATCTGCCGAAACAAGAAAACCGGGGTTCCGACCTGAAAATAGAAAACAAGAGACTCCAATCCAAGATTGGAGATCAAAACAAAAACCCGGTATACTATGGCCTTTCGATAATTGCAACGGGAGTAATTAACTTGGCCAACGGCCAGGCTGCAATGTGAATTATAATTCGAGTTTGCCACAAATTAAAATTGCCATCCGGCGTGGCATCCGCGGCATGCGACGGTACAAAATCTGACAAGCGGTAGCAGCATAATAAAAATATGTATGTGAAATTAAATAGGACGCAGCCAGCAGCTGCCACAGAGCACTCGAAAAAATTGAATTTACAATGGAAAATAAGTTAATTAAAATTTAATAACAGATACATAATAAAATAATTCACTAAAGTAAAGTTATTTGATCAGAATAAAGTCCTTCTAAACAACAATCTCTTACCTTTTTTTCCAGTGTCCTTTTTGTGACATATTTGGGTGTGCCCCCTCTCCTTAAAAAAACTAAAGAAAAAAGGAAACTGTCCTGCCTACCTTTTTAGCCCCATTCGAGTCACTAATTTGCCATTTAGTCGGGCATTTGTGGCATTTGGGTGACAAGAGCGAGAGCCGAAGCAGCCGAAAATTTAATGGCTTAATGTGGCAAATGTGGCAACAAGGTGACTTTCTGGACCTCTGGTCCAAGAATTGGTCACATTTCAAGCCATATTCCACTGCTATTTGTCTGATTATTCAATCAGGCCAGCAGACAGAGAGGATGATGGGCAATTACCCTCAGCAGTTCGCTTAAAATCTTATTAAGTTTTGTTTGTTTTCATCATTATTTTCACGGCCGGGGCCATTTTCGACCATTAAGAGTGAAAATCTTGTGTAAATCGAATTATTTGTAATTTATGGTGTGGCAGCAGCAGCAAC